AACGTATTTTGGCTTTCACATGAGATATATGAGCTGTCTCTTATACACATCTAGATGTGTATAAGAGATATATGTTATAGTGGTCCGATATCGACAGTTCCGACAAATGAGCAGCTTCTTGAAGAGCAAATGAAATTTACAAAACTACAAAACGATATCTTAAAAACTGGGGGACTATTTCGTGTATATACAGACGGACAGACAGACAGACGGACACGGCTAAATCGACTCAACGCACTGATCATTTATATATATACTTAATATTGTCTCCGACGCTTCCTTCTGAGCGTTACAAACTTCGTGGCAAACTTAATATACCCTGTTCAAGGTATTACAACGATACTCATCGTAGACATATACAAATTTCAATTTATAATCGGGCATTTTTTGCCTATGTGATATTTTATCTCTAACTCATTCTTCAGAAAGAATCGACCGATCTTGCAAAGGTATCAAATCAGAAACGCTGCTTGTAACGTTCCAAAATGGAAGACAAAAAGATGCTAAACATAGGCGATCCATTTATTCAAATACAAATCTGCCGCCAACAAACAAAACGTGAAAACATCTGCGTGCGAACTTGCAAATAATAATACAGCATCTCAGTGAGCATTTCTCTGTCGAATATAATCGGCGAAGATTTGAAGACGCGTTTTTCTAGGGAAATATTGGATAGATTCCAACTGAGTGTGTTGCTTCCAGAAAAAGCATGTGCTTTGTAAACCAAAGAAATGGGGAACATTTAATTGACTGCTTAATAGATAGATGCAAAAACCTTTTTGTATAATAAAAATGTCGTGCGACGATTGAATCTCAAAGCTGAACTTGATCGCTGGCAGTGCCATTGGGGCCAGAATCAAAATTCAAAAGACAACAAGTCACCGTCTGCTGTATTGGAAACGCTGAAGAATTGCGACTGCTGCACACCATGAAAACATTGAAGTCACTGCAGAAGAAATTCTCGAAAGATTCTCAACACTTGGCCCACATCGTTTTCTTCCGTGAAAGTTTTCAATTCAATACACGAACTGGCTACAGTATTACACATTGCCATAAAGTATGTCTACCGCACGTCTACGATATAAGTATAATATG